GTGACGAGTCTACCTCCGCGATCCAAAGAATTAATGGACATCGAAACTGACTGATGACAATATCAGCGCCAGCATCGTTCAGAAACAGTTGGTTGGGAAAAATTTTGTTAAACACTTTTCCTATTGAAAGATGTTCGAGATTAGTTGTGCCTTGAACGATAGAAATTTCAGGTTCGCAGTCTTTGACTGTAACAATTGACCACACATTGACTGTTATACGCAAGTAAACTGAAGATGTTGACTTGGTAGGACAAATTGTTCTTCCTTCTTATAAGTAAATGATTATGGGTTGCAACAGAATTCGGTTACTTGTCCAACTTAATGAATTTTTTAGGACTTAAACATTAAAGACCTGACTATCACATGTACAGTACACCGCTGTGTCAAAATGCATAAAAATTCCTGTACAGTTGCTCTTAATCCGTTACTCTTCTTATGTAAATGAGTGCATATTTGATTCCAAGTTTGTTGTTTCGTTTCGTTTCGTTTTTTTTCACAGCCTTAAAAAATGGTTTTTCAGCTTTTGCCATAACTCAGCTTTTCCAGCGTGGCAAATGAAGATTCAACGGGCGTGCTAGAGGTTGCAATGTCGATTAGCGAATAGCTCAAACACTTTCGGCCTGAGACCGTTCAGTCCCTGATTACAAACCAGCCGCCGATTAAGGAGGCGTACAAATTGCATTGTATTCTGCAAGGTAGCCATCCATGATTGTTCTGCACTGAAAGGTCTGTGTGTTTTGGGCCGATTATCAGCATTACAGATGATTGAAAAACGTTGTTATACAAATGCGGCAAATGCGGTCGATGTCTGCCTTTCAACTCTTTGTATTTGCATGATTTTGTTGTGATCAGCCTTTTCCTTAGCACAGCGTCTCATTGCTGTACACTGCTTTCGCAGCTTTACAGCATTAATGCTTTATGGGACCGGTTGCTGCGTCCTGGAAGGAGCGATTATGAAGGAGAATGGCCTGAGGCCTGCCTATTTCCGTTATAAGCTGAACTCCTAATCGATGTCTGTCATATTTAAGGTATCACACGAGACGCTCATGTACTGGAAAGGGTCAGTGCTTAACCAGTCTGTTTAACAAGGTGAACTTCTTTTTTCAACTTGCCCATCTACGGAAGAAAATTGTCTCTGGAGTGAGATGGAGTCGTTATCCCTGAACGTCAGCGCTGCTCCCAAGCAGGTCAAAGATTGTTCTTGGTTTTCCGTAGAACAACTGTTAGCTCGGACGAAACGAAGAGCCATAACCAGCAACATCCCCGGGGTACTCGTTGTGACCTATGATTTGCTACATACTCGTGGTACGAAAATTTTGCTGTATAAAACTGATGCGGAATCGACGCTCCAATAAGCAAACGTAGGATCGCAAGCCATTGCCATGTGCGGTGGAATGCGTGGGTAGAAACGTCTATAGTGGTAGGTACGAAAGTGCATCGTTTTCATGAATCCTGAAGTACGACTGCGCTAAATTGTTCATAACTTGATATGTGAGTTTAAATTTCTGAACTGCCAGCCTCAATTGATCGTTTGGTAGCCGCTGGAGGTTGTGGATGGCTTGAATGCGTAAGAGAGACAATCACGCGAACGCAATGCCCTAACAGGCGAATCGATTTCGCCTGCTTAATGAGCTTGGGCGACAGAGAATCATACGAGAGCTTGTAAAGACTAGTAATTAATGCCGTGTATATCAACAAGCAGTATTTTTAGTTTTGTGGTCAGTTTCGTCAGGGAATGTGTGTATCCACACCGGATGCGAAGCAGCAGTCGTCCAGTGTAATGTCGACTCCATCTGTGATGAGGTACATTGCAAAATGTGGCCGCGGTTAGAAAACCGGTCGACGAGCAGACGGGCGACGCGACGAGCTTCCCTGTCCGGAAACAGCACGTTTTCCAGCAGCCCAGCAAACCGTGTTTCGATGACGTCTCAAAATTCTGCTTGCAAATCGCATTAACCATGAAAGCTGTGTCATTTCGATCAAAGTACTTGGTTTGAAACTTTCTTTCACGTGAATTGAATATTGGTTTCAGCCACACT